TACACCCATCACCCACTTGGCTAGTTGACTTTATACAGATTTAACCCTTACAATGCACAGGAAATAAATCTCTGCTTTTGCCTTTTCGGCACATTGGGATTGGTAGGGCAAACGACTAGGAGTCCAACACTAGGCGGAACCAGAGCCAATGGCAGGCTGAGATAGCTAAGTCCAGTTTCGTTCCCCCTGCTCCACGGGTGCTTTAGCTGAGATTCCTGCATTGCAGGGGGTTGGACTAGATGACCCACAGGGTCCCTTCATGAAGCCAACAGGCAGTAGCACCCCTGGATTCATGGTTAGTAAGAAGGCAGGGCAGCCGAGGGAAGACCCGCTTTTGGCCTAATGGACCCAACTCCTCTTATTGCTGTTGGATTGCGAGGGGTGAGAACTCCTCCCGCCCTTCGCACAAGTCTCTTTTTAAGCATTCCTGCAGCCGAGAACATCATGTCTTTTCTCTCATTACAAGACAGACAGGGAGGAGCAGCCGTTCAAGTTTCCAGATGCAGAGAGATTTAGCACAACTGCTGGCCGTCCTGCCAAAACGAAGAAGAGAGGAAGCAAAAATAATAACTCTGTACTGCCAAGGATTTTCAGGGACAGAGGGAGGTCTGCAGCTGCACCTATACCCACTTCTCCTTTGGCAGCAGATATACATACATACATACATACATACATACACAGGAATGACATGAGAAAGGACCTTTAATATGGCTCAGGAGTGAGCATGAATTCAGTTTTCTGCACACATCTCTGAAACGGAACATATTTTTTTCCACCACCCCAATGGAAATTTCGGCCGACTTATTTATTTGTTTTATATCCCTCCCTTCCTCCCGAAGGAGCCCAGGGCAGCAAACCAATCATTAAACAATTTTTAAAAACCACTTTAAAACAATTCCAATAGAGATGCAGGCTGTGAAAGATCTCAACTTAAAAGGCTTGCTTATTGATTATTACTTATCATGAAAAAGGCCTGTCTATTTCTGGCAACGACTCACCTTGAGAGTCGCACAGTCATCTGGCCTGTGTATTTTACTTGCTTGTCTGTGCAATATGTTTTCTTATTAATGGCAGGGAAGAAAAAAAAACCTCTGAAATTGGCTTCAGCTCTCAACAGACACTGGCTTCCAGTAGGAGAAAGCAGCCAAGCTAATAAATATGAACAGTCAGGTGTCAACCCCTGGCTGAGCCCTTCTTGACAATCTTCTAAAGGTGGCTGAATGTCTTCCTCTAAAGTCCAGCTTTAAGTCAGACTCTAAAAGAGGCATGGATAAGATCTCCATTGGTATGATCAAGGTGTTGTTGTTTTGTTTTAAAACAAAGGTGGATTGCCAGAATCGCATCAAAGCAAGAGTCCCGGATAAAGACCTTGGTCACAATCCAACATTATTTCACAATATTGAAATCCCGTCGATTTCAATATTATTTGGATGCACTATATTTCACTCTGGGTTGCAATCTTTGCTTATTTTCCCCAGGGGTTGGGGGCTTTCCCCCCACTAGTGTGGGGGCCAAATTCCCTTCTGGTCTACTTTCTGAGTGCCGTGGGAACTCTGAACTACACAATGCAACATTTTGCTGAGGGTCTCACTTGTCGTTTTGTATGGTTATTGTATCAGATCCTCATTCCATCTGTCCTTTTAATTTGTTGTTGTTGTTGTTTAGTCATTTAGTCGTGTCTGACTCTTCGTGACCCCATGGACCAGAGCACGCCAGGCACGCCTGTCTTCCACTGCCTCCCACAGTTTGGTCAGACTCATGTTTGTAGCTTCGAGAACACTGTCCAACCATCTCTTCCTCTGTCGTTCCCTTCTCCTTGTACCCTCCATCTTTCCCAACATCAGGGTCTTTTCCAGGGAGTCTTCTCTTCTCATGAGGTGGCCAAAGTATTGGAGCCTCAGCTTCAGGATCTGTCCTTCCAGTGAGCACTCAGGGCTGATTTCCTTAAGAATGGATAGGTTTGATCTTCTTGCAGTCCATGGGACTCTCAAGAGTCTCCTCCAGCACCAGAATTCAAAAGAATCCATTCTTTGGCGATCAGCCTTTTAATTTGTGGCCCACATCAAATATGAAAATATCCCAGCACACCACTCACTCATGCATGCATTACTTGTAGTGAAAGGCCAGTAGCAATGTGGTGAATTGTGTGTGTGTGTGTAGGGGAACAGTTAGGGAGAGAGGTGTCAGCTTGCGAGGGCAATTGGGGGCCTCCCTGTTGTGTGCATAGCTGGACAGAAGCTTCCTGGACTTTGGGAAGGAAGCGCAAGGCTTTAATACTTTAATACTCTAATTTACCAGTAACATTTTAAGGACTACTAGCCTAATCCCCCTAGTCCACTGACCGCATGTCCCTGTGAGAGACCATTGGTATGTAAGTTTAAAGGTACCTTCACTTGTTTCTGCTGAAATGGATCCCTCTTTTTTCCCTTTGAGGAGGAACATTTCAAGAATGGAAAATGTGAATATGGCAACAGGCCTTAATGGAAAGATTGACAAAGCAAGTACAAAGAGACAAACAAACATGGGAGATGATGTCATATGACAGTGGGGCGGGGTCATTCTGTGGACAGCTAGTAAAACTGGGACCTCAACACTCGCTTCAGGTCAGAACTTCCCTGGAGGGACTTGATAGGTTGAGATGAAACAATGCATTGCTCTTCCCTGTTCTTTCTCCCTACATATTATGAAATACAGTGGTACCTTGGGTTATGTACTTAATTCGTTCCGGAGGTCCGTTCTTAACCTGAAGCACCACTTTAGCTAATGGGGCCTCCTGCTGCTGCTGCGCCACCGGAGCACGATTTCTGTTCTCATCCTGAAGCAAAGTTCTTAACCTGAAGCACTATTTCTGGGTTAGCAGAGTGTGTAACCTGAAGCGTATGTAACCCGAGGTACCACTGTAATAACATAAAAGGTATGCGTTGTATACCAACCAAACCAAACCAAACATCACTTTAATGCATTGTAAATTTTTTTATTACATGTTCTTGATATATATGAAAAAATTTTTTGAAAGTTGTTTAAAAATAAAATTATTATGGTAATTAATGTTCGGAGTCCTGAACATCCTCAAAGTGCAATGCATTTTATGGAGAAGTGAAAGATTCCGCACACTCACATCTGTGTGGCTTCGTTTAAGCAAGCCTCATTCATAAGTTTGTAAAATGTCACCTTGGAAATGTTGCTAATAGGATCATATTCCAGAAAATGGAGTAGGGGGCAGAGAGAGAGATGAGGTGCAGAGACTTGGACAAGGTGTTTAAGAGATGCAAGGGAAGAAGGAAAAAATGAGGTCACCTCGTGCATTTTTTCAAAAAAGCGCATTTGGCTTGTCATAGCTCAAGCGCTTTGGACTCCATGCAAAACTTTTGGCTTCATCTATTGGTCTTGGCAAGGACAGGTGATTTTGAAGAGCCTTGGCCTGTTTAATGACAGAATTACTGAGAGAGGGGTGTGTGATGCAGTGATTTCGATGCAATGTTCTGAATGCCTTTTGTTGGCGTCGGCTGCGTTTTCATAATACACTAAGTGTTGAGAGCGCATAGACTAGGGTAACCTTGCCTTGTTACAATAGCAACAGGTGATGAACCTGGGGCCTTCTTAAGGCCAATAAAAAACAGAGTTTTTTGTTCTCTTCCTTTCAACAGTTCCAATTTACAAACCCTAAAAGCAGCAAATGTAATCTGTCGTGCCATCTAGTGGCTACTGCATGCATTCCCTTAGCACTGAATCCTCTCACGAGAAGGAAAACTCTGATCCTAAATCTCTGCTAAATCTGTGGCTATGATCATTCGTGAGAAAGGCTTTGGGAGTAAACCCCAAGGAAAATTCCGTACCTGATGCCTCGCAGGACATCTTGGGGAGAAGAAACGGCAAGGGAGAAAACCCTACACAAATCCAGAGTGGGGTCTGTAAGATGGATGACGCCTTGTAGGCCTCATTCTGGCAACCCCTGCAGCCAAGCTGGTGTCCAAATCATTGCTCTGCTTTCCTTAGGACCACATCAGCGAGGTCAAGAGCGGACCTTCATACACACTGCCCAGGGTTCTGCACTTTGGTGCTGCTAAGGCAGAAAAAAATGATGCTGTGGGAGGCTGCAGTTACAGATGAAACTGAAAAATTAGAATATCGTGGAAAAGTTCATGACATGACATGCAAAGCGAGATATGTCAAGCCTTTACTGCCGCATTGAGGCAGTAATTGATGCAAAAGGAGCCCAAACCAAGTACTGAGTACATATGCATGCTTCTACTTCTCAGAGGTCCAATATTGCTCTATTTGCAATCCTTGTTTTGCTGATTTCATTTAATATTCTAATTTTCTGAGACTGTTGATGTGGGGTTTTCATCAGCTGTATGCCATGATCATCACAATTATAACAAATAAAGGCTTGACATTTCTCGCTTTGCATGTCATGAGTCTATCTCATATATTAGTTTCACCTTTTAAGTTGAATTACTGAAATAAATGAACCTTTCCATGATATTCTAATTTTTCGAGTTTCACCTGTATGTGTTACTGGTCTCTGCAGCCACAGTGATTCTGCAGCCGTTTGGCTTCATCCCCAGAGGAACACTCCATTGTCTTTCGAGACAGACGGGTACCAAATGCCCAAGAGAGTAAATGGAGGAATGGCTTGGTAGGGAGAAAATGATTTAGCACTCATCTTTTTACGTCTAGGACCTGAAGAACCAAGTGGGTACTTGCGGCTTTCTGAATGCTGCTGAACTCTCTCATCAACCGCAGCAACCTTGGGATGGTCAAAAGTGGGAGCCCAACAAAGTCTGAAGACACAGGTTGCTCCCCCCCCCCCCATTTTAAAGAAAACAGTTTGAAACACAAAAGTTAGAGCTCTGCAAACTTTCCAGCGTGGTCTCGTTCAAATGGTATTAGCACGGAAAGATGAGTGAGAAGGAAGACCGGTATAGGAAGCAAATACATTTGCAGAATTTATGCATATTTCCCATGTTCGAGGGGGTAAAAGCTTCCAGCACATCGGATTTTATTGCTTTTGTATTTATCACATGAACTATGCTAAAAACCTAACAATTAGACGAACATAGTACAATCCACATTTTTATTACACAGTTAACAAAGGAAGCAATTTTTACAAATGCACTTCATATAAGAATATTTTTTATACAGAAAATAGGTCTCTTACGCAATTTACAGAGGAGCATTTTGGCTTTCTGTTTCTGAATATAGTTCGCTTGATTAAATGTATGCTTCTGTTTTATACAACAGGACAAACAACAGGGCAGTTTAGATTATCACTGTAGATCTGCACAAGGCTGTTAAGACAACATAGATGTATATAGTTTTAGAACCCTTTAGAATAAGCAGACCATTCAAGTATTTAAACACTCGTTATAGAGTTTCTTTTAGGAAAAAAATGAGAAAGTCTTTTCATAGCTCACACCATGAATTTGTGTCAAGGTACACTGGCAAGAACCTTAACATGGCAGCATTTCAGTGTGATTATAAACTTTCATTAGCTAACATAGTTCTTGGCATTAAGACCTCATTGAATGAAAGTATTTAACCTACACTTTCTGAAAACGAACTCCGAAGTAAAATACTGTACTGATGGTGTATAATACACATAACACTAAATATATTAAGTATATAATATATATATATATACTTAATTTAAAATTCAACAACCAGTTTTCTTATAAGGTTATAATTTAAGGAACAGCAAAACCCAGTAAGGTAGTGACAGAACATGAGACAACTGAAAGACAAAAGATGAGAAAACTGAAAGACAGACATATGTCTACAATGACAAACATCTGTTTAGAGATTTAGGGTACAGTGCAAAGACTAAGCACTTTTAAACTCATCCATTTTAATGGAGATTTAATTAGCTACTTAACTCTCCTGCTGATAGATCTTGAAAGAGTTTAAACTTGCATCGTGCCTATACTCCCAATTTTTGCAAAATAATAATAATAATGGTGAACTCAAAGCACAAACACAAAATCATACTGTTGGTTTTAGGATATAATTATGGCATTTAAGACTCTGTAGTGCTATGACCTTTATAATTAATGCCTTTTTGAGTCCTCCAGAAGTTATTCTGGAGTACAGTGACTTAGATGATAGCTCATTGAAGCAAGTTTTTAAGACAACTGCCAAATAATTTGCTAACACAGATGGGTTGTATTGTTCCATTGTTAACTAAGAAGACTGTATCAAATAATAGTTCCCATCGTAATCTTTTTGCTCTCCAAAGTATAAGAAACGAAAGTGTAGCCATCTCACTTTTCTACCATTAATTTTGCAGCCCAAAGGGTAGAGAACACACAAACCAACATACAGTAAGGAATCACATTGTACTGGGTCACATGAAGATTTTTAAAGAAATCATCATTCCAGTGACTTTGCAAACTCAGCATAGTCAATGTAGCCATCATTATTTTTATCATCATCACGCAAGACGCCGTCTATCAAACTAATTAACTCCTCATCTTTCATTGTCTGGGTGTGTTCTCCACCTTCCTACAGGAAAAGGGGGGGGGGGGAGAGATAGATTGGTTTTAGCAGACGAGCACATTTGGAAATCAGAACGGTCCCACTCTGTATTCTGCCCTTGAGGGCTGCACTTGGGTTTCCTAGAAATTGGCTAATGAAGGCTAGAAAAAAGTTGAGTGGGCCTGGCAGGTCTTAGACTCAGAAAGGTACAAAACAAGATTTTCAATTTGACCGTCTCTCAAAGAGCGCTGCAGCTCCTCCGCTCACCCACCCCTCCAACCAGGTCACACTTAAAAACTATTGGCAAGTTTTATAATCTACAGGTTATTTAAAATTTGGTATAGCGTGGAATCTTTGAGAGAGCTGATCCCCAAGGGATAAGTCTTTGGATTGAACTGCCACTATATATATATATATATATGTATATATATGCAAAATGTTATAGACATTTCCAACCCATATATATTAAAAGATAAGCTTGCTCACAGACACTGTTCACCAGCCTATCAGATTTTCTGTTCCAGGAAATTAGCGCTCACCTCTTTGTGAACATGTGAGATGGCAGTGGCAAGTTCAAGCCCATCAAGCAGATTGTTGCCATCGTAGTCATGCATTTTGAAGTAATGAAGCTGCAGCTCTTGTGGCGACATCTCAGATTCTGGTTTGTCAATGACGCCTTCTAAATGTTCCATGATGTGGCTGCAGAGTAAGAATACGACGAATCTTAGTGCGCACCGATACAACCACACACCCACTGAATGCAACGAACATGCAGATGTGTGCATATAGGTAATGCAATATGCATTTAAAAGCCAGACTTCGATTGAAATGTGGATACTATCTTCAGAGAGATGGGACCACAGCAGAGGGGAAAGAGAACTAATCTTCTCCCCCACACAGTCCCAAGACTGCTTGAGCTTCCCCTGAGACTATTTACTGTATATAACAACAACAACAACAACAACAACAACAACCATGTTAGTTGCAGTCATGCCAGGTGGACTGCATGAAACAGAGCTTATGAGAGATTTCACAGGCAATATAGCCGTCGGTCATGCTTGCAGAGGCTGATGGGAGTTGTAGTTCAGCCACTTTTGGAGGGACAAAGGCTTCCCGAACTTACCTAAACAGAGCCCAATGGGAACTGAGTGTGCTCAGTAACCACAGCATGCTGACTGACTGGTGTGTTTGTTTGTGTGTGCGGGGGATGAGACAGAAAGTCAGGTGGGAGGGGAAACGGAGTAGGAAAAAGGCTGGCTGGCTGGCACTCTGCACTGGAACATTTTGTTGAATTCAATTCTGCTATTATATCAAATGCCATATCAGACCCTCCTTTCCCCTACTTATTTATATTGAGTGTGACTGCAGAGAATACATACTCCTTATCTTGTACCATGTTCTTATCAAGACGCACGTTTGCCTGATGACTCCCATCTGCGTGGTCCTCTGCAAAAGAGGACATAGAAGATGCAAGGACTAGGCAACAGAGGAAATATAGCGTAGAAATCCTTGGTTGTGTAACAGCCATGGTCCTAGCAAAAAAAAAAAAGACAGAGTGACCATTTAGTTGGAAAGGCAGCTAATAAATGTTATGATTAATTAAATACATATAAGAATAAAACAACAACTACTACAATTGTGGGTAACAATCAGGCATTTATACCCTTTAGAGTCTCTATTTCCTTATTCCTCCTACCACCTGCATTTTGGGTTTCCACAACCAAAACCGAGTTGCCATGAAAAGCCACAATGAAAATATGTTCTAGGTATTGACGAAAGTTCACAGATGCACAGTAATAAGGCCACCTGCCTAGCTATGCCTTCTTACTTCAAAAGACTGGCTGTGTCATGCTTACATATTGTTAAACCTCATTTTCAGTAGGGAGTCCAGCATCTGTTAACCAGGAACTTGTTTGGTATTCAACCTTTAGCTGAACACCTGGCACAGTTCAAAGTAGACTTTCACACAGGTGGAATAGGCAGTCTGGGATGTAAATGAAGGAATCAAGGAGCACAGCTGTCTGCCAGGAAACCTTTACATTTCTTGAGATAACATCAAGCTTATTGCAAATTCTGCATATTCACTCAAATGCCAAAGTCTAATTACCTAATTTATTGTGACACTATGTGTAACGTGTCACATTTAAGGTTCTACGTACTTCCTCTTTTCCCATTTTAAACTACAGTATTTCCTACTGTAAGGCACTTTGTGCAGAGACCTTTTGAATAGCTAAGAACTGTCAATTGCACTTAATGCAATTCAGCACACAATGCATGGCAGTCAATTACTGGGACAAGAGTGTGAATATTAAGAGTTTAACAACAATGTGCATTGCACCCACAGGACTTAGAATCAGGCTGGATTAAAAAGCTAATGGCAGAGGTGGCATTTCCTCCTCCCCTCCAACTTTATCTGTTCACTATGGGTACAACAGCTGTTACTTGCTACATGTGCCCACTAAATAATTCTATCTCCCAACCATACATTTTAATGTAGTCGTGCCTGAACCCTTTAAAAAAATAAAAATCCAGTTGTTTAGTGGATCTGGAATTTCTAACCATTTTAATACCATAGGGGAGGAAACGCGGTGTGATAGTAACTGAGTATCTCCTAGCATATGGTGGGTGCTAAATACAAACCAAATAGAAGTACTACTAGTAGTTTCTATTTGTTTGAACCCAGATTTGGGATTTTGCAAGGCACTATCAACAAACCTTTAGACTTTGAAGTACAAAGACAAACCTCTAGAAATCGTTGACCCCTTGGCCTTTCCACTATCAGCCCCCTGTTAACTCATTCCCCCCTTCCCTTCATCAAGCATAAAGCAGTACATACACAACTTAAGCCATCTCCCAGCTCTCCAGTTCTGCTTGGTAAGCAAACCTGGAACTAATTCCAGCAGCAGCTGGAACAATACAACTGTAATGTGAAGAAATGAAAAGGAAAGCACATATCCTCTCCCCTCTTCCCCATTTTTTTGTTGTTGTTTTTTTGACTTGTACTTCGCCAATTAAATTTTGGCTAAAAGTCTGGGCATTATTTGATCAGGGATGAGGTTTATAACTGGAAACAGCTCTCTCACTGGAGTTTTTTCCCCCCTGTGAGCGGTTTACTCCTATTTATTAACCTGTAAGATGATTAACATTGTTTCCTATTCTGCTTTTCTGGGCTGGGGAAAGGAGAAGAGATATTGAAGACAGCCTGCAACGCAAAAAAGCGACAGCACATTTTCTCCCTCTTTCTTTTTAGAGTTTTAAAAAAGATTTTTAATGTTAGAGGAATTGGGGCGTTCTTATTTTTTGTGCGCGCGGGGGTGGGGATGGGAATAGGTTTCTTAAAACCCATCCACCCCCTTCTATGGCAAAACAAATGCCCATTGGTTTCAACAGGTCTACTCTGAGCAGGGCCGACACCTGAGGCAACCTTTTTAAAAAATATATATATTGGTGGTTGATCGGTCTGCTTTCCTTTCTGAATAAAAGCTGCCTGCCCCGCTTTCCAACGCTGTTCAAGGCAGGGAATGCTGCCCCATAGAACTCAACAGGGCTTGGTCCTGCAGCCACTTACGCGGGAGTAAGCCCCACTGAACTCTATGGCTTCTTCTAGGTAAGAGTGCCCTGTTAATGCCTCAGGTGGCGAAAGCCCAGGACAATGGGGACTGACTCCACCGCCTCACCTGCTCCCAACGCCGCCAGCTACTCCTAAAGCGACACCGGACGAAGTTTGGACCTACCCGGCCACCATCGCCTCCTCTCGCGGCCACCTCTGAACTCTCCGCGCTTGCGTCCTGCCACCGCCCAACTCTCCGGCTATTGGCTTCGGCCCCCTCGGAGTTTTACGTCGAACGCCCAGGTGCGGCGGCCAGATGCCACGCCCCTTTCCCTCCCCTTCCCGGTTCCGTGGCCACGCCCCCTCTCTCCGATCTCATGACGTGGCTTCGCTCCTTTCCAACGTTGCCTCAAAGGGCGGGTCTTTAAAAAAAGAAAGAAAGGGAAGTAAGGAAACTCCACCCCCCGCTTTCCTCTGGTACGCCCGGTGCTCTTTCAGTCATTGCCGGCAGAGGGTCTCAGGTACCCAATCGCCGCAAAGAACTCGTTTACGCCCTCCCTCTGCCTATTCTAACATGAGCGGGTGCTCCGCCCAACTTTCCTCTGGTACGCCCGGTGCCCTTTCAATCGTCGCCGGCGTGGACTCGGATAGCCAATCGCTGCAAAGACTCCGTGAAGACCCGCCTACTTTGTCCCTATGTCGCCTCATTTGACTAACCTCGGTGCGCGTTTTTCTCTCCTAGGCTGAGGTGCGGCTGTTGGGTTTGGTCGCTTCCAGCGCTTTTCGCATGACTAGCGAGGCCTCGGAGGCTCTCGCTGGTTGTGTGAACGAGGCTGGGGTTCCCAAAACGAAAACATTGGCAGGATTCTTGTAATAACCTGCAGTTTTATAACAGTATATATTTAAAGCAGATGAATAAATGAGCAAATAAAGTTAATTTGGATATGCAGAAGATATTAAACATAAATTTAAGGAACCACAGAAAGAGCGGGAAGGAAGTCAAGTTTTGAAATGTTAAAATGATTGTAAAATTAGTGAAATATATAAACAAAATTTAAAAAGAACAAGAATCCTGCAGCTTTTGAGTAATTTCGCTCACCCCCTTTTCCCTGTCATGGTTAGGATGGACAATTTTTGTGGTTTGCCTCAGGTGCCATAATGATGTGATGATGTGTGGGAGTGCGGTTATTGGGTTTTTTATTATGCATTTTTCTGTTGTGATGTTTGGATGAAGGGTGGTATACAAATTTAGCAACATCATCATCATCTTGGGTTAGCCCTGGGGCTTTGTGTCCCTTAGTGTTTCTAGGAAAACATGATGCAGCCTGAAATTTCTGTGGGTTTAATCAGAAGTGGATGTTCTTAGATCCCACCCTCATCTTTTGATTAAATTGTTTTAACTGTTTTCAGTACAATATTGTATTTATACAATTCTGTAACCTGTCCCAGGGACCACGTGGTGAAGGGTGGGTGAGAAATCTAATTAATAATAGTAATACTAGATAACAAACAATGTCGTGAAGTGGTTAAATTGCCAATGAGTTGGCAGGTATAGGGTCAAATCCACCCTTAGCAATAAAACTTGGCACATGAATTTGGGCCAATCAGTTGCTTGGGCCTTTCCTACACCATAAGGATAAAATAGGGAATGAAGAACTGTTATTGTGCCTTGATGCTGCCTGCTCTGTCATTAGGCAGAGAGAGACAGTCATCTCAAGTAGCTGTGTTTGGGTACCATGGAAGGGCAGAAAAATGTTAGTTATATAACCGATTGTGGTTGCATTTTTACTGTAAGTAAGTGAGGAGGTGCTTGTGGGACTTTCTGCATGAAGTGGCAAAATAATTTAGCTGGCCTGGGATACTATGTGCCTTGACTTGTAGTGGTGGAATCACCTGTTGCCCTGCCTCTTGAGCTTCTCAGAATAAATGTTACAAATAAATCGATCCCATTGCTTTCCCCCTCCATGAGAGGTCCATAGGGCAGTAATACAGTAACGGGCCTTTTCTGTGGTGGCTCCGTTTGTGGAATGCTCTTCCTGAGGACGTTTGCCCGGCACCTTCATTACATATCTTTAGGTGCCAGGCGAAAATGTTTCTCTATATTCCTTTGGCTCTGATTCAAGAATCTATGGTCTTTTAAACTGTGTGTATGTGGTTATTGTTTTGTTTATTATGGTATTTATTTTTGTGTTTTTATACAATATACCGCCCTGCTATCCTCAGGTGAAGGGCGGTATATAAATTCAATAAATACATAAATAATAAACAAGACTTCCTTTCCTCCCCCCTGTAAATTCTTCTTCTTTTAAATAATTTTTATTAGTTTCCTCCCAGTGACTTCAATCAAAAGTGAGCTCCCCAGGAAGTCAGTGAAACTTCCTTCTGAACATTACGTCCTAGAATCCAGACTCTGGATGCTTAGCAGTGGCTATATAGGTGTGGCTCCAATTACCTGACATTAATTCTTACGTGTTTCATAATAACTCTTCTTACTCTGCCTTCAGCCCACACATATCACACAGAACTGAGATGAATGCAATTTGCCTTGTACGTGGCAAATGTAGCGAGGGATGCAGGCCATCTTAAGTAATAATAATAAAATCATCATTTATACCCTGCCCAAATCCTGTTCTAATTAGACTTTCTGCCTCACCACTCCACAGGCTAACCTGCCATCAACTGCCTTGTGGGAAGGCTCTTGGTGGGTATTAAATATGTTGCCGCTGTTTATTATGTATTTAAAATATGTAATTTAATGTCACTTTAAAAATTATTAAAGGTTTCTTTGTTTACAAAAATATGTGCATTGTCTTTTTTTGCGTTTTCTACAGAACAGTTTCAATTGTCGTGAGACATTAGTGTTGCATGCAGTATAAGGTTGGGAGGAAAAGAAGGGGAGGGTTGGGAGGGGGTGGGGTGGGGTGGCAATGCTTCTATTTTTCTACTTAGCGTATGTGTGAGTTTTGTGTCAGTTTCACTTGTGTGGGTTCTCTTTCTGTTCGCTTGTTATACTCCCATGGTGGTGAGATAGGTTGGCAATAGCCTAGGGCAGGGGTCACAAACCTAAGGCCCAGGGGCCAGATCCAGCCCAATCGCCTTCTCAATCCGGCCCGCGGATGGTCCAGGAATCAGTGTGTTTTTACATGGGTAGAATGTGTGCTTTTATTTAAAATGCATCTCTGGGTTATTTGTGGGGTATAGGACTTCGTTCCTATGTGTGTGAGAGGGTGGGTTTTTGTGTCAGGTTAGCCATATTGATTCGAATGCTGTCAGCAGATTCATGTTGTTGTCTTGTTGGGACTGTGTATGTGATAAAGGGGAACCATACCGGAATGCAGGCTTCCCAGGGAAAACTCAAATAAACTTGTCAATTTCAGTTTATTGGTTAGCTCTTCTAGTAAGGCTGTTTCCCATACTAGAGTGGTACCTTGGGTTACATACGCTTCAGGTTACATACGCTTCAGGTTAGACTCTACTAACCCAGAAATAGTACCTCGGGTTAAGAACTTTGCTTCAGGATGAGAACAGAAATCGTGCAGTGGCGGTGGCACAGCGGCAGTGGGAGGCCCCATTAGCTAAAGTGGTGCTTCAGGTTAAGACCAGTTTCAGGTTAAGAACGGACCTCCGGAACGAATTAAGTACTTAACCAGAGGTACCACTGTATTCGATACCATCGGTTCATGCTTACTCCTGACAGGTCTCTCCAGTGTCCGGCTATGATGCTTCTGGCTGCTGAGAGTAGGTGGGTTATGAGCTCTTTACAATGTGAGTGGGCATTATTATCTTGGAAGATGTTCAGTAGGGCCAGTTCTGGGGTGACTTCTAATACCTGCTTAGTTATTTTGCATATTTCTTGTATGACTGATGTCCAGAACAGTTGGGTTTGGGGACATTAATTTAATGATACTTATCAACTGCCTTGGTAGGATTTGTATCCTGACAGACATCATATAAGTAATCGACAGAGGGCTGGAGATGTTGCTAGCGTTGTATCATTAGAAGGAAGAATTAGGACAAATCAGTTTCACTACTCACAGTCTGCAACAGTGAATTATCTTCCGCGGGTTTGTCTTCCCGGGAGAAACTCAAATGCGATATTAAGAAGCCCAGAAAACTGACATCCTGAATAAATTCTGAATTGTGCAAATGCATCTTATTTTGTAGAAACACACTCAATTTGCAAACTGCATTCTGGAGTTGATATTTGTACCTTGTTTCTTTAAAAAAAACATTTGAAATTCGATTTCTCTTAGCAGTGACTGGTGCAAAAGAACCGTGCAGATAAGTAAACGTTAATAGCATAGTATCTATGGATCAGGGGTGGTACACAAATTTAATAATAATAATAATAATAATCACATTCCACATTGTGGAATGTGATGTCCTCTTCTCAAAGCAAACAGCAGCAGCAAAGGAGGGGTTTCCCTCAAAGGAAAGGATTAAATTACTGTACCCCTGCAGCATCCTGGTCATTATAATCCCCACCACTCAAGCTGATATTTGTATTTTTTAAAAATCTGTACATTAAATGCAAAGTTGTAGTCTAACTCATCCTATAGTTGGGCCCTCCTTTTTTGTGCTTCAGTCCTGCTTGTGGGGTTTCCCGCAGGCGTCTGGTTGGGCACTGCAAGAACAGGAGGCTGGACTAAATGGGCCAATGGCGTGAGCCAACAAGGTCTTCTTATGCTCAAACTGTCTAAATGCTGAATAACATAGTTTTGCAGTTTTTAGAATATCCTGGATGTTCCTTATTTTGATTCCCCTTTGGTTTTGGTGTGGATTTTTCACAGATGAGCTCAGAAGCATTCCTTTGATCCTCTTTTGCAGTCTTTGTGCCTGGTACAAATGTGGTTAGTGCATTGGAAAATTTCTCAATTCAAAGTTTTCCACCACATCGCTGTCTCTGTTCCTGACAGAGTAAAAAGGAACAGTTGAAGAGCTGTGCAGACTTCTGAAACATGCACGGATAATGGCAATAGTAAGCAGTCTTTTATATTTATACTAATTAATAATTATAACTAATAATTAATAATTAATAGCCCACCCATCTGCCTGGGTTTCCTCAGCCACTCTGGGTGGCTCACAATAGAATATTAAAAACATGATAAGACATCAAACATTTAAAACTTCCCTAAACAGGGCTGCCTTCAGATGTCTTCTAAAAGTCAGATGTTTATTTCCTTGACATCTGATAGGAGGGTGTTCTACAGGAGGGTGCCACTACTGAGAAGGCCCTCTGCCTGGTTCCCTGTAATTTCACTTCTCGTAGGGAGGGAACCACCAGAAGGCCCTTGGAGCTGGACCTCAGTGTCCGGGCAGAATGATGGGGGTGGAGACACTCTTTCATTATGTCTTCACATTAATATAACACAAACACTGGAAGTCCCAAAACAGGACAAAATGAAGGAGAAGAAACAGAGAGCTGTCCGGTCCATAGCACCGGAAGAGAAATCTAAAGAGAAAATTCTAATCCTTGCTGCAAAAGCAAAGGAGGAGACAACATAGCTTCCTGGGACAGGGAAGTTTCTCATGCTGGGTGACACAACAAAAAAGGCCCTGCTCAAAAGGCAACAGCAAATGCAAAAGCATCTCAGTGGCAAGCACAGAAGAGAGTAATATTGTCATGGGGCTTGTGTGGCAGGGGACAATCTGAACCCTGAAGGGGTGTGTCCACATCAGGTGGAGTAATCAGTCAAGAAACAGGAAGTGAGAGTCCCTTGCAGCTTTTCCTGGGGACAAAGGAAGAGCCAGACTGTTCTGTACTTTAAGGGTGCAGCCTGATGGATGTGGAGTGGAGCAAACAGCAAAAGCTCTTCCCAAGCAGAAAACAGTCTTCACCCCTACCTTTTGGCCCTTGACTCTCTTTGCACAGAAGGAGGTTAAAATCCAACCCTGAAACTTCAGGTCTAGCCTGGAACCCCCAGAACCTGGGTGAAAGCGGGGAGGAGAAAAGAAAACGCACATTGCCCATTTAAGCAGAAATCCCTAACAGCCTCTTTTTGGGGGGACCGGCCAGTGCAGTGTAATGGTTAAGAGTGTTGGGACTATGACCTGGGAGACCAGGGTTCAAATCCCCGCTGGGCCACCAAGCTCACTGCCAGTCAGTGTCTCTCAGTCTAACCTACCTCACAGGGTAGATCATGAGGAGGGGTTCCTCAGTCGGTAGAGCACAAGCCTCTTAATCACAGGGTCGTGGGTTCGAGTCCCACATGTGGGTGTAGACTTGATGATCCTGGTGGTCCCTTCCAATTCTACAATTCTATGTGTTGTGTTCCTTTGAGAAAAGGGTGAGTTATAAACGCAATTAAATAAAACAAAACAATAGATGGAAAACATTGCGCCCTTCACAAGCCCTGAAAGACCCCTCTTGTTCCATTTCTGCCCCCCATTTTAAGCCGTTCCCTTCTGCGGCGCAACTTTACCAGCCTGTCACGCTTTGCGCGGGGCGCTTCCTCTTAGCTGCCACACATCTGGATCATCGGGGCGCTGAGGGGTAGTTTTTGTGGGGGTTTTTTTGGAAGGGGCACCACATCTGTCCCGCGCCGCAGCGCCGCTGGAGCCTCCCTTTCCACCAGGCGCCCGGGAGCGCGCGATCCTGCCCCTGCTGGGCGAGGGGAGGGGAACCCGGCTGTTCCCCAGGCGCACGCCCGGCTGCCCGGGACTTCCCTGTTGTACACGAGTCACCCACCCACGCTAAGATGGCTGCGAAAGGCTCGCATTTCCACCTGAAAATGGAAGAGGCGGTGGAGAGGTGCCGCGCCGATTGCCAGTGGGACACGCAGCTGGCCGTGGTGGAGCAGATGAGGACGCGGGCGGCCAGTCCCCGCCACAAGTGGGCCAAGGGGGGCGCAGCCGGCGCAGGAGCTCAACCGTCCGGTAAGTCGCCGCCGGGGATCCCGCAGCCAGCAGCTTCTCTTCCCCAGGAAATGGAAGCAGCAGCAGCAGAAGCAGCGGCGCCCGCCCTCCTGTCTTCCCTTAGCAAGGAGTCGTCCTTTGGTCTCCCGGAGCAAAACCTTTCCCGACGGGAGAGTTGTACAATCTGTGCCCCGCTTCCTTGAGTTAGTTGCGCGCAGCCAGCTCCCATAGAAAGCCGCAGGGTTCAACTCCCAAGTCATGTGAACTTTACGCACTGATTTCAGACTAAGCGCAACTAACTTAGTCCGGATCCAAGCCTCTCCACCCAACCACACTCTGTTTTGCAAGAGCAGCTAATTCATCCGCACCCCAAACAATGCTTGAGGGGGAAGTTGTGGAGTTGGAAGGGGGTCCCAGGGTCATCTAGTCCAACCCCCTGCGATTCAGGAATCTCAGCCATAGCATCCAGTGACAGATGGCCGTCTAACCTCAGCTTGAAAACCTCCAAGGAAGGAGAGTCCACAACCTCGAACGGCTCTTAACTGTCAGAAAGTTCTTCCTGATGTTTAAGCATCCGTTTTGTTGTTAATCACTTCATTAAATTTATACTGAGCTGATTGATTGCAGGAAACCTCAATGCGGTGTGCAAAAGAAAACATTAGGACAGGCTTCCTCAACCTCGGCCCTCCAGATGTTTTGAGACTACAATTCCCAGCATTCCTGAGCACTGGTCCTGCTAGCTAGGGATCATGGGAGTTGTAGGCCAAAAACATCTGACGAGCCGAGGTTGAGGAATCCTGCAATAGGATTATTAGTAACAACTATCAAACTTTTTTAAAAAAATCCAGAAATAAAGTAAAAACACACCAGCGCTCTAAATACCTGTGTAGGTAGGCTTGTCTCAGCAAAAAATGTTTTCATCAGGCGCGTCATGAGCTTTGCCTCATGAGAGCCAAGTGCTTTTTTAAATACACAGTACAACCCCAGTGTTTCCCCAGAGGTGTAATTGGATCTGCACTCCACAGCTGCTTTTTCCCCAACACTCCTTTTGTGTCTTGTGTGTTGCTCTCAATGATTTTTCTCACACTTTACCGCCATTGGGAATAATCGGAGGATGCTGTCTTGCTCAAGAGGGCAGCCTCAAAGGAAATCAGCTATACAATGTGCAGGTTTACACAGAAGTAAGTCCCAGTGATGCAGAATGGGGCTTACTCTCTAGTAAAGCTGCTGTCCGGGACACAGTTACCTAGAAATGAACCCCATCAAACACAATGGGACTTGCATCTGAATGAGCATAGGTTACATTGCTCAGCTAATTTCTGAGGGTCAGCTATCCTAAAATAATAAACTGGACTAATTCTCCGACTTCCTCCGTGCCAATATGTCATGGACGTTGGTAAAACTCGTAAGTGAGCACCACAGTTTGGGAAGGATGTTGGCAAACTGGAACGGGTGTGGAGAAGGGTGACCCAAGTTGATGAAAGGCCTGGAAACCTAGCTTTGTATGAGGAACAGTTGAGGGAGTTGGTTTAGCCTGGAGAAGAGAAGACCGGCAGGTGATATGGTACCCATTTTCAAGTTCCAGACTGGTTGTCACTTGGAAGATGGTCAAGCTTGTTCCCTCCTGCTCCAGAGGGTAGGACTCAAACCAACGAGTTCGATTTACAAGAAAGGAGATTCCGACTAAACATTAGGAATAACTTTCTGATGGCAAGAGCTGTTCAACCTCGGAGGGTAGTGGACTCTCCTTCATTGGAGGGTTTAAACAGAGGTTGGAAGGCCATCTTCTTGGGAACACTTTATCTGCAGTTTCTGCATTGCAGGGGGTTGGACTTGATGGCCCTTGGGGTCTTTTCCAACTCTGTCATTCCATGGTTCTATGAAAGCTTCCATAGCTCCTCATTTACCTGCCATAGTAAAGAGGATCCCGCAGATGACATCAGTGAGCCTGCTGGGATACCCTCCCCTTGCGTGATTCTCCTCCATTGCACTATTGGTTTTAACTCCATTTAGCTGAGGATTCCTGGGATGGATGATGCTGTTGTCTTCTCAAACCATTATTTATTTATTTATTTATTTATTTATTTATTTAATAAATTTATACCCCGCCCATCTGGCCAGGCTTCCCCGGCCACTATGGGCGGCTTCCAACAAAACACTAAAATACAATAATGCCTCAAACATTAAAAGCTTCCCTAAGCAGGGCTGCCTTCAGATGTCTTCTAAAAGTCTGGTAGTTGTTGTTCTCTTTGACATCTGGTGGGAGGACGTTCCACAGGGCAGGTGCCACTACCGAGAAGGCCCTCTCCCTCTGCCTGGTTCCCTGTAAAGGTTCAGCACTGTGAAATGTGCCTTCTCGGTAGTGGCGCCAACACTGGATCACCCTCTCATCAAATGTCAAGGAGATGGGTAACTATATACAGTAACCAGTTTAGAAGACATCTGAAGGCAGCCTTATATAGGGAAGCTTTTTAATGTTGAATGTTTTAGTACGTTTCATGTTGGAAGCTGCCCAGAGTGGCAACCCAGTCAGATGGCTGGGGTACAAATATATCGTAATAGTAATAATAATAATAATAATAATAAACCTTTTCTCAGTAAGTCCAGTTCTTAGCCCTCTTTGGGATAACCCAGGCATAGGCAAACTTGGCCCTCCAGATGTTTTTGGCCTACAACTCCCATCATCCCTAGCTAACAGGACTAGTGGATGACGGGAGTTGTACAGTGGATGCTCAGGTTGTGAACGTGATCCGTGTGGGAGGCATGTTTGCAACCCGCAGTGCCACGTCTGCACACGGGCGGGTCACGATTCGGCACTTCTGCGCATGCGCAAAGCACAATTTAGTGTTTCTGTGCATGCACGAGCGCCGAAACCTGGAAGTAACCCGTTCCTGTACTTCCAGGTTTCGGTGCATCTGTAACCTGAAAACACGTAACCCGTAATCTGAAAACACGTAACCCAAAGTGTCTGTAACCTGAGGAATGACTGTAGTCCCCAAACATCTGGAAGGCTGAGTTTGCCTATGTTTGGGATAAACCATGACTGTTTTAAAATGAGTTTTGATTATATCTGAATCCTCTGTGAATCTTCTAGTGCAGACCAATGTAGCATCAGTAACAACAAATGGATGAATGTTGTATTTCAAATTGTTGTACCTCACCCTGAGAACTCAGGGTAGAGAATGAGTAATAAAGTAAATGAATAGTAAATAATAAAATAAAAACAACAACAACAACATCAACAGTACTTGAAGCACTGCACTGGCTGCCACTGAGCCACCAGGCCCAGTTCATTGGGTTAGTACTAGCATGTAAAGCCCTAAATGTCTTGGGACACAATTAGCTAAAAGATCTCCTTCCTTTGCCAGTATCAGCCATCTTGGACTCTACCATCCACAGGTGAAACCTTGTTGGTGGTACTGCTTGGTTGGTGTTGCCCCATGACAGGGTTTTTTTCAGTGGCAGCTCCCCATCTGTGGAATGCCTTCCATGTTGAAGTGTACCTGTCTCTCTTATAATTGACTTCCAGGCAGAATCTGAAAACACACACTCTGAGAAATACTATTCTTGGCAACCCTGAAATCACCGGTTGAGATACTGTTTCTAACTGCTACCAGATTTTATTTTTTTTAACGTGTTTGCCACCCTGGGCTCCTTTGGGAGGCAGGGCGGGTTCTAACGTGAAATAATAATAATAATATTTCAGGAAGTGCAAGTGCCTCTTTAAAAGTTTAGGCCTTCCTCTTGTGTGCTGTAGGCTGTTCATCTCAGCGGGGTGGAAATTAGAGCCAGTGGGCGATGATTCATGTTCTTGCATCCTGTTTTAAGCCTTGTTGAGGTGGGAAAAGAAAATATTCTGTGGTCTCTTCTGTAGCTCCAGGAAACATCGTAAGCACCATGTGTGTCTCGCTTGCATCTTGGACATAAAAAACCTTAAAAGCGAAACTTTTTCGTTTTAAAAACATGGTCTGGGGAGGGGGGGGGGAAGGTTGAGTGAATTATTCGCCAGGTTCTTGCATTCCCTTTTCAGATCTCGGCCTCACATTAGGGCTGAAGAGCTGTTTTATTTCTCTGGAGGGGCTGCCCTGCCAAATTTTAAATTGGCCAGGCAGCCCCGCCCAAGAACATATGTGTTTATCCGTCAGACAGAAGTACACTGGCACACATTTTCCTCTCATCCTGTACGGTTGGCAGCAGACCTCTGGGAAGTGTGTGCGTGTGAGAGAGGGAGCCCATCCTGGACTGAGTGAGGTCCTGCCGCTCAGCCACACTTGCCTCAGAGACCCTTAGCGGGCCTGTTGCCTGGCAGTGCCAGGGATGGCCCAGAAACGAGGGCGAAACATGCTGCACGAATGTACCTCAGGGTGTGCTCATGTGCACAGAAGCGAGTGTGTTTGTGGGGAGGGTGGCCATAGTCCCCATCTATACCTAAAGGAGTGCCTCCACCCCCATCATCTAGCCCAGACACTGAGGTCCAGCTCTGAGGGCCTTCTGGCGGTTCCCTCCCTGCAAGAAGTGAGGTTAAAGAGAACCAGGCAGAGGGTCTTCTCAGTAGTGGCGCCCGCCCTGTGGAACGCCCTCCCATCAGATGTCAAATAAATAAACAACTAAACTGGTGCCTCTGGATGCGAACGGGATCTGTTCCAGAGCCCCGTTCGCATCCTGAAGGGAACGCAACCCACGTCTGCGCATGCGCGGGTCACAATTTGCTACTTTCGCACATGCATGTGATGTCATTTTGAGCGTCTGCGTATGCGCGAGCAGCGAAACCCGG